GCAGTTCATGGGAAATTTCTGGTACATTGTTTTTCTTTAAACAAAAGTTTAATGTATTGCAAACAGCATCAGTGGAAAGTTAGATTTTTTGGAAATGGTGTATTCTCAGCACCACTGGCAAGTTTCTCGAATGGTGGAAAAAAACAGCCAAACGAAATTGATTCTTTTACCTATTTCATATGAATATTATATTCATACTTTAATCATATATAATATTAACCAATTAATTTCATTGTATATACATATTTAGTTTCATTTGTATGGCTGCAATAACCTTCTGCAGTAGTATGCGTTGGTTTTTCTGATTACCTGCACCCCCCACTGAAAAGCTCCAAACATGTTGGCTACTTTAACTAGCACTAACAAACACGTTGGCAGCCGTTACAAACCTATTGGCAGCCCTTAGAAACCCTTAAAATTGGTGACATTGGTGGAAGACGTTTATTTGGATACCTTTAAGTCTATTTCAATTAATGCATCCAATGCTGCTTATGTTTTTTACATTTTATTGAAGATTATTAAAACTGTAACATATGATCCATTGTCATGCTTATATGCTGAAATTTCCATGAGAGGAATCATGATCTGCAGCCAAACTGATAAAAATGTCTGAAAAAATGGAAAGCCATCTGCATAGACATTACATTCATATATGAATTGCCACATAAATACTTTTTGGTGACATGGAGCACTGCCTCATCAATGCTTTTTCACAGCTTTTGGGAGAGAGTGCGGATATTCAGAAAAAAGCCACTTTTTTAATACTTGCAATAGTATTTGTTTTCACACACTTTTCACATTTTAGTGGAAATCTGAAACTGAATTTGAGTTTATAATAGAAATAAAAACAGGAAATTATGCTTATTTAGAAAGAACAAACAAAACTGAATCTATATCATCAGTAACATGCTGCAATATATACTGCAATAAAATATAATTTTGGGAGGTGAGCTGTTGCATTCAATAGTCTATTCCATACATATGAAATCCTAAAAGCCAATAGCTGAATACATTTTTTAAATTCATTCAAATCTTAAATGACAATGATCATTTTCTTATTGGGACAACATGTTCAATCATTAGACAAATTCATTGAAATCTTAAATGACAATAATCATTTTCTTATTGGGACAGCATGTTTAAAAAAAAAAATGCAATAGATACCACATCATTAAACAAGAATTCTACCACATTTTTAACTGTTATTAGTAAATTTATCCCCTTTAGCTGTCCCACACACAAATCACTGCTAATTTTTTCCATAATCCTGAAAAAGAAACTCAGCTTTGATATACAAGTTCCAAATCAGATACTATACTTAAAAGATTTAAGAATGCAAAGGGTTATTTTTGCCTTGGTGGATGACATTTCAAGGTAAACTGACATAGGAAAAACTATTAAAAGCCAATCATTTTACTATGATAAAAAACACAATTAGAGTTATTTATCAAATGATTTAGAGTTTAATTATTCCTTTAGAAGCTGAACTATTTCAAAAGATTAAGAAATTGAAATCTTCATTTCAGATTTTGTGACATGATCAATCTAATGCATATATTTTTTATTAAAAATAATTCTGACCAACTTTGAGTTTAGGAGTATATAAGTAATTCTTAGTTTAGAAGTATACAGTCAAAAGTCATTAATTCGGACACCCATAATTCGGAATGATCTATAATCCGGACCTCAAAGCTACAAACTTTCTGCGCATGCGTCGCGTTGACGCTGCGAATTTGCGTGTGCGCGTGCGCAAAATACGTTTACGAATGCGCGTTTAATGTATAACGGACGGGATAAGCTAAGCTAAAATTATCTAATTATCTATTTCAGTTAATGTTGCAGATTGCATTGTTCCTTAATCTTCTAATTGGATCCGGCTTATTATTTTTTTGCAGACTATTAGAGCAATTTTATAAAAGTAAGCTTGAACTTTCGATTATGTCAAATAGAATTTCCGATATATATTTACTAATATGTAAAGGATCTACAAAGCGAAAGTATCTTTCGGAGTCCATTAAACAAAAATGGAATTGCTGCAAAAAAAAAATGGATAAAGGCATATTCTTTGTTTATCTAAACTTAAACGTTTGTTTATCTAAACTTTGTTTATCTTTAACGCTGCGGGGGCGTGCAATGAATTGGAAGTTGATTTATCAGCACTATCCTTATCTTAAGGGCAGATGTTTTTATTTTATTTGGCTTATAATTGCTTACTCAATGTAGTATTTCATCTCAATGTACTCCGTCTTTGATATGATTTAAATCAAATGCCTCGTCATTATAATTCGCTTCCGATAGCGAAGAGTGACAAAGAAAGTGACATAGGTTATTGAAAACGAAAAAAATTTCGATTGAGAAATTAGTCGGTATTCTCGATACAGCAATTATAGGACTTGAACAGCGGAACTTTGTAACTGAACAAGAAATTATGTCTGTTTATAGAATTAAAGAGAATGTATTATCACATAAAAAACGAAGCAACTGAAACAACTTACATTGAAAGAAATGTTTAATAAAGTAAACCAATAAATATTAAGCTTTTCTTTTGTCAATTTTGATACTCTTTAGATCATAATTGTTCTTTATTTCATAAATTACGGTTTCATATTTTTAATTTTATAATTTCTGCATGCCATTTTACCAGATTTAAACTGATGATCTATAATCCGGAAAAATCGATAATCCGGAATCGCCGAAGTCCTGACGAGTCCGGATTAACGACTTTTGACTGTATAACAAATTGAAATCTTCATTTCAATTTTGTGACTCGATCAATGCATGTAATATAAATTACAGTTTCCTAAATTCCTCTTTTTAATTTGAATACTTCCCCTCTTTATTCCAAAATTTGTAATAATCATTTCTGGATTGCATCATTTCTAGATCAGTGCATATGATATGGCTTATATAATTTTCTTATATCTTACATATTCCCATACGTAAGACATACGAGAATACAATAGTTGTTTTAAAAATAATTGGCAGCCTCAAAATTAATGATTCTAGATTTGGTGCTCTCCCTCTAAATTCATCTGCTCTCCCAAATTCGAGATCCTTATATGCTATAACAATCTAAGATTAACCAATCATAGCTTAGAATACTTTCTACAGGTTACTTAGTATAAATACTCTTGGCACAAAAACTACGTCATTCTTTTCTAATTTTTTCTTTTGCAATAACGGGAAATTGTTGAAATCCAATTGGGAAAACGTCTGCACTGTGATCCTGGCAGGCCTTAAGAATGTGATATTTTTAATGTGTGATCATGATGGCAGAGTGGAAAGGCATAATGACGCATTTAACACCACTGAGCCCTAAGTATCACAATCTTTATTTTCACGCATGTAAAACCATTTTAGTAGATATTTAGCCAATCATAATGAATTACAATAATTTCTTATATACAATTTACACAAGTTAATGGGAGCGATATCATTTTGGACGGACAAGCAGAGCAATGGGGATATCTTAGCAGGGTGAAGCTAGGAAAAGAAAGGCATAATTTTTTATGCCATATATACTAAGTACTAGTACATGCAGAAATACCAGTATATATACTTAAGTACATGCAGAAAGTACTCTAAGCTATGATATGCTAATCTTAGGTTGTTATATAACATAAAAGGATCTTGAATTTGAGAGAAGAGATGAATTTGGGAGGAGAGCACCAAATCCAGAATTGTTAATTTTGAGGTTGCCAATTATTTGATGTAACACGAATTGAGTAACTGAAGAGTTAGTTTGGGGGGGCAACTTCCCCTTAATAAGTCTGTCTCCTGTCTGCTCAACAATTATTCACTTATGCAATTTTTTGGAATAATAAATTACATTTTTTAAAAATAATATTTTTTTATGATTTTAGATACGTGCAATTAATTTACATATGTTCTTAGAATTTAAATGATATTGTAAATTAGTTCACAGCAATAATAATAGTTTTTATTTCTTTGCAATTAAAATTTCTTAATTAAATTATATATTTGCTTTATACGAATAGAGAATATTTGTTAAATTGAAATTATACAGATACACACATTATATATAATTACATACATATATATGTGTAAGATAAAAAATATGTTAATCAAAATTATAATTTAGACTAACAGTAAAACTGATTCTCCCTCTCTGTTCTAAAAACCGTAATAACTTCTCTGGATTGCTTCATTTCTAAATCATTCCATTTCGCATGTCCTGTGCAACGCTGATGATGTAATAATTGGGAACTGAAACTTTTAACTCAAACCCAAACCTTTCTCTTCGTGTGCTTTCATACTAGATAACTATGCAGTTTAGCTTTTGCATCTGTGCCATTTAGACACTATTTCATTCTGCTGTGTTTCTATCACAACAATATCAAAAATGTAAATTTTCTTGAATAGGCACAACTAGAGTGCCAAATGAACTGTGGCTAGAAATGGCAACTGGAAATAAAAATGGAATTAAAACTGCCTTGACTGCCAAGTTGTTTAGATAGTATTAAGCCAACATATTAGCATACTACGCAATCGGAGTTCTTCCTCTTCAATATGGATTTACGATATATCCTATATAGCTATTGCACATCGACGCTGCTCCATCTTTTTCTTATTTTCATTACATATATATATATATACACATTCACCCTAAACAAAGGATAGTAATCTATGAAGTAATACTAAAATTAACATCTTGAAGTGATATATATGGGATCAATCCTTTATTATTTATTTACTATGTACTTTTTAAATTTTTCATTGAAATTAATTAGAAAGACTGAAGTGCTAATTATTATTAAGTCTGCATGCTCCTGTTACAATTAAAAAATTTAATTTATAAAACACAAAATTGTCTCTATATAAATCAGTTAAAATTCTTACTATATGTTTCCCATTTCTAAAAATATTTTCTTCACTTACTTACTAATCATAGTTACAATTTACTCAATGCAAAGTAGAAATCCTAATTAATGAATTTAACAAACAGTCAAACATGAAATCCTACAGTTATATTTTCTTACCAAATTCATCTTCCATAGCAATAATAACTTCAACATGATCCAAACTGTCTAATCCTAAATCTTCATAAAAATGGGAATTAAGGGTTAGCTAAAAAAGAAAAAAAATAATGACACCAATAATTTTTTAGCCTTCTGTGAGTAATACGAAAGTAGAACATATAGTTGAGAATATAAAGAATGAAGATACTTTACTGTATCTGGGTTTATCTTATCATACAGCTTCAAAACCAAAAGAACTCGTTCTTCTATGTGGCTCAGTGTATAAGGCATATGAAATGAACCTGAGTTCCGAAGAAGTGTCATGACTGGTGCAACAAATTTCTAAGAAACAAGTATGTAATTATTTCAAATCAGCACATATATAGTATCAATGTATACAGTCTGCATGACAAAATAATTTACACTATATTTATATCATACACAATATCGAATACTCTACTGCATTCCAAGAAAGATATATACAGTCAAAAGTCTTTAATTCAGACTCGTCGGGACTTCGGCGATTCCGGATTAACGGTTTTTCTGGATTATAGATCATCAGTTTAAATCTGGTAAGATGGCATGCAGAAATTATAAAATTAAAAATATGAAACTGTAATTTATGAAATAAAGAGCAATTATGATTTAAAGGGTATCAAAATTTACAGATAAAGCTTAATATTTATTTGTTTACTTTATCAAACATTTCTTTCAACACGCATGCGTAAAGCATACATTACGCATAGTCGAAATTAGAAAATTGCAACCAGAAAACTATTTGATGTGTATTCATGATATTTATAATGGCGAGTAATTTGATTTAAATCATATCAAAGACGGAGTACTTTGAGATGAAATACTACATTTAGTAAGGAATTATAAGCGAAATAAAATAAAAAAATCTGCCTTGAAGATAAGGATACTACTGTCAGATCAACTTCCAGTTCATTGGGCGCCGCGTGCAAATTTTGCTGTGACACAGATCTCAGTAATTCTACATTTCTGATCCAAGACATAAGAAATCTGGGACAGTAGTTTGTAACAATAACCTCCAGACATCATTTGCCTCAAGAATTGCGATAAAGAGCCACCGGGAGATTACAGGCAGGACAAAAATCAGACAGAAGTGGCCAGATGGCTAAATGCGAGTCCTGTGATTCATAGACTTTGATCTTAATCAACAGATTTTGGATCCAGGAGGTTCAGTCAAGGAAGGCCAACCATTATGATGAGCGCCGATGACCGATATTTTTGTTATGTGCACAACGGAACAGAACTCCAACTCTGACTTCACTTAGATCCTTCCTTGCTGCAGCCAATGGAAGGTTGATGTCAGCATCAACCATGTGTAGGTTTCATGAAGGAGGTCTGTATGCAAGGCGACCAGACATTTGAGTGGTGCTCGCATCATATCATAGAAGGAAACATTTGAGATGGGCACATCAACATATCCATTAGACAGCTGAGCAACGGAAATCTATCCTCTCCTCTTTGCAGATGAAGTCTAGGTTTAGCATTTATTTGATTTGGAGAGAACCTGGATCCCATTACCATCTATCAAACATCTATGAAACAGATGCATAAGGAGCAGGCAGGGTCTGTGTTTGGAATGGTATCTCTGGGTAGGCACACAGACCTCCATGTCTTTCAACATGGAACCATGAACCACATCAATCATTCCTGCTACAGACAACAACACTTGAACGCATAGGACATATAAAAATTCAATATAGACTAACCGCAGTTTATATGACATTGGGTCATATAAAAAGTCTGCGGTTTTTTCCACTAGATGGTGTTCATGCCTATATATCCAGCAACACTCACCTGATTGTCTCAAAGGAACAAATGCTTAAAAGGTGACATACAGCTTCCATTGTTATGAAGATAGTTTTCTAATTCATTGCGCTTGTAAAAAGTTATACTGACTTGAAAATGAGTGAAATATCTGAAGAAATATGCTTTTTTATTATAAAATATGCTTTTTAATATGAAGCATTATTATTTATAAAGAAGAAATATGCTTTTTTATTATATGTGATGCTTTTATATTATAAAAAATGTAAAAACACTGCAAAATCACACCAAAACGTTTCTGAAGTGTACGGTGAGCAAGCTATGAGTGAACGAAGGACCCAGGAATGGTTTGCTCGATTTCGTTCCGAAAATTTTGATGTCAAAGATACACCTCGCTCTGGTCGGCCAGTCACTGAAATTTTGCAACTGGTGGAGCAAGACCACCACGCAAGCTGTCAGGAAATAGCGGAGGCACTAAACATCAACCACATGAGAGTTTGGAATCATTTGAAAAGAGCAGGCTACAAAAAGAAGCTTGATGTTTGGTTGCCTCAGGAATTAAGACAAAGAAATTTGCTGCTGCAACCTAGCGAAACCATCAATTTGGCCCTGCTCTGTTCGGCTGTTTGAATGAAGCAATCCAGAAAGAGCGACCAGAATTGGCTAACAGAAAGGGAGTTGTGTTCCATGATGACAATGCATGGCCACATACATCTTTCATGACTTGGAAAAAATTGATGGAACTTACTTGGGACGTTTTGATGCACTCACTGTATAGCCTGGACCTTGCACCATTCATTTGTTACAGTCTCTGCAAAACTCTCTTGATGGTAAAAAACTGGCCGACCGAAGTGTCACTGAAAAAATCACTTGGTCAAGTCTTTCGATGATAAACCATAGATGTTCTACACCGATGGAATTATGAAGCTACTCAAAAAATGACAATAGATCAAAGATAATAATGGTCAAGATGTACTTGATTAAAACTGATTTTCAATAAAGAAAATATTTGTTCAAAAATGTACCAAAAAACCACAGACTTTATATGGCCCAATATATACCAAATTCAATTAACATTGAGGAGCTAAAATTTTGAGAGCAAATTTTTTAAAACCAACTCGTGCGATTTTTACAAAACTTGGCAGTTTGGCATAATTTGTCATAGAATGGAAATATGAAAAAAAATTTGGCATGTCATTTCAGAAAAAGTCTGATTTTATGTCAGAATACCTCTATATTAGAACAATGCTATACATAAATCTAATACAAAGCTTAAGTCATGCTATCGAGACATGAAAAACAGAAGTTGAATTTCATCAATTGGCCCAGTAGAACGGGTAATATGGAACTGTCCTACTTCCCCCCCCGGCAGTGTACATTTTCTTACATACAGGAACAAAAAATGCTAAAAATCTTTAAATTATATATAATTATTTGTATAAGAACATGAAAAGGAAGGATAGGGTTTCTTTTTAATCATGTTACCAAGCTATAAAAGACATATCACGGAAATAATCAATATAATACAGTACAAAGTCTGTAATTCGGACTCGTCGGGACTTTGACGATTCCGGATTAGGGGTTTTTTTGGGTTATAGATCATCAATTTAAATCTGGTAAGATGGCATACAGAAATTATACAATTAAAAATATCAAACTGTAATTTACGAAATAAAGAGCAATTTTGATCTAAAGAGTATCAAATTTTACAAAAAAAGCTTAATATTTATTTGTTTACTTTATTAAACATTTCTTTCAATGCACCCATGCGTAATGTATACGCATTCTTTACGCGCATGCGTAAAGTTTGTGGCTTTGAGGTCCAGATTATAGATCATTCCGGATAATGGACGTCCGGATTACGGACTTTGTACTGTACATATTAAGACATCCACTTAAAGGTGAATGCCAAATATTCGCAAATCAATGCACTTTCTCTTCTAAGTAGATACTGATGCATAAACATAGAAAGAAATCCTTCTGAAACCTAACAAATGTAATTTATTTATTTATTTTGCCTTACTTCTCAAAAATCAAGAATTATTTTGATAAAAAATTAGTAGTAGTAAAAGTAGAATAACACAGTTTAACCCTCTCACTGTGTAACGTTTTTAAAAATCGAAATAGATTCAAAAATTGCATACTTTTTTATTACATATTTCAAATCTATATATATTTGAGATATAAAATATACAAAAAATTTTTGTAAAAGAGATTATTTTTTCAATATAGAATTAGATCATAGAAAATGGTTGTCAGAATACTGAAATTGAAGAATAATGATACAAAAGGAAAATTTTGAAAATTAATATTAGTTAAATTATGATTGATTTAATGAAATATAAAGGTAAAACATATATACTAATGACAATATTTGCATAATGTAATATTCTGCATATCAATTTTGCACCACTGTCGAACGTGTTCAGTAGAAACTGATTTTTCAGATTCATCATTATTATCTGCATAGGAATGCGAGAAAATTTCATCAGTTTCGCTATAATTATCTTCAATATACTTGAAATTAGAGTCAGAACTACTATCAGTGTTGGAAATATCATCAGGAATATAGGTTATATCACTTGCGAAACGCTTCTTGCCAGACATCTTTTAGCTCAGAAATGCGCACGCAAAATGCTACATTGTATATTTGCCAGAAATGTGGACAACTAATGCCATCTCTTAGCCCACATCTAAATAAGCAATTAATCATCACAGGAAAGCCGAAAGGAAACCTTGAATGGGGAAAGAGCGGTTTGCACAGTTAAATAGACGGCAAAAATTCATCCTCACGGAAATCACGGGTTGCGCCAAATTTTGCTACATTTACATAGCCCGTGGAAAACGCGGGATGCGCAGCGAGAGGTTTAAGAATCAATTTTTATTGAAAATATAGTAGAAACTGCAGTTAGTCTATATTTTAGGGCACCCCTTAGATTATCGCGAAGTTGTTTCTTTTATGGTAACCTGAGTAATTGAATGTTATGAAAACCCTATTATGATGTCATTGGTTGTGTGAATGTGTTGAATTTGATTGATGGGAAAATATTTGTAAGAGCTTATTTATCTGTTGAATGTTGGTTAGGAAGTACATCACTTATTTTGTGCTTTACACCGTAACTTGCCTGCTGGTGATACTATTAAACTGTAGTTTCTGTACACTTTAGAATGATTGGGAAAGAAAACATTGACTGGTGTGTAAATGAAGAAAATTTAAATGGTGTCATTCACCTCTCGGTAAATTACACAGTGAGATTTAAGGGTCTGGAAACTGGAGCTCATATCAAAACTATGGAAGGTATGTGGGGTGTAATAAAAAGGGATTTTCAAAATAATTCCGGCAGTACAGAGAATATTTTTCATTTTTACTTTGGAGAATTTTCATGGTAATTGCAATATACACATTCTAGTTTAGATAATTTTAAATAGTTTTTGAATGCTGTTAAGGAATTTTGTGTGCCTCACGTGCAGAAGAAACACAAATTTTTAAATAAGGCGAGTCGATATTTCCTTTTTGTATTCCGTAGATTACATAACATATAGTTCCATTCTTATGTTACTTCCTTGTTTA